TACATACATACATACACACACACACACACAGACATATATATATATATATATATGTATATATATGGTCATACAGTAACATGTGATTTTTGACCACTATGAATAAAAATACGAAGGCACGTGTTTTTGTGTACTTAAGTAGGCAAACACAATACGAGGGTGCCAACGCAATCCGCATTCAGATGTCAGGCAGGACCCTCGCAGCAGGATACATATCCATTGATTTTAGTTTACAATAGTATATTCACAAACTGGCTCACCTTCAGAACATGAATGATCTCTGACACCCGATCGACCTCTTCGATCGTCAGAGGATTCTTCGTCATCACCTGTAGTTGGAACGTAACAACCAGAATGAGTCAGTAATATATGCCTGACCAGAGTGTAGTCTTGCCTGCACTGTTTAGTGCCAAGCAGTCGCTGGTTGCGTAGGAGTTGCAGGGTCTATTGCTTTCGATACCAGATGAAGGTTAGAAAGCAAGCATACATATGTTGGCCATTTGCTAAGGGTATTCTACTAATTGCTACCATTTAGCAAAACAAAAAAAAACGTATCGCGCTACCCAATGTGAATACATATACTCTCTTATAGCTGGAGTGAATGATAAAAACAAAGTTCCACTATTGATATCGATGATTTCGAATTATTCAACACACACTGGACCAAGACCTTGTCTACTACATAATAACTAAAATATCATACCTACATGGATGTATTCATAAGCGGACAAAATTGCATATCTAAATTCACTCCGTAACCAAAAATGATGATCAACGTTATACTTGACGTCCAGGGAGTGTCATGTCTGTGTAATTGCAACGTATTTACGATCCAACGCATCGTAAACATCAAGCAACCAGACTATGGTACGTACTTGTGCGGCGTAGAAGGTCATCATTTCTTTAGGGGGCTCCCACTCCAGCAGAGGGATTTGTTTGAGCTCGATGTGTATGTCATATAAACCTGTTGTTGGGGACAGGCTAGGATTACTTGCGAGGAAAGTCATCTGAATGAAAGGCAAAACCGCGCATCAAGAATGAAAGACGTGCATCTGTGAACAGGCGTGATATATAAACATATGGATCACAATTGCATCTTAACAATGGCGTATATAGAGATTAACCACTATGTTGCACAAACCTATACATCTGAGACAGGCGAGGAAACTTTTATACAGGAAACCGAACCAATGCCATCGACACTCCTGAGACTGGGAACGATATACGTATGGCCACAAAACATGTACAAATACGTTGGGAGCATACGACCTTATTGACAAACTTCACAGGGGAATCAACATACCTTCGTTGAAAATGTCACCAACCCATTTGGCCATCATAAGCGTCATCATCACCGGCAAACCGAATGACACATTATTCGTTGTCTGAGTGTGTGAAGTCCAAAGAGAAACACATACATAGCAGCATTAGAGCTGGGCATGGACTCGACAAGTTGTGTCATCAAGTGAAAGTAAGGGAGGATTTCAATGACGGTGAAAGGATTGAAGGTCGTTTGCTGAATGTCTGTCGTGCACATGAACGTTACACGAGCAATAAGCAAGTGTTGCTATGTGACGCTACGACTTAGAGAACACGCACACACAATACACGAGTGGAGGGAAGTACAGCCCAAGGTTGAGATAGCTCGCCTGTGCATGAATGGGAACTACACTTGCTTTGGAGTGGTATGAAGTTCACGACCAATGTATACAGCTCGAACGCCAACATCAGCTTTGACAGAGATGCCACATATCAGCCTTTACAATTCAGCAGAATAGCGCCTAGATTCGCGGTACTTCAGTCTAGAGAGAGCCAAATCCCTAGACCAAACAGAAGGCACAATATGCATAGCAGAACACATGCCCCCAGTCGCATACCTCGATGACAATGACTGTCAGTGATATAGTCATCCACACATCATGCATAGCAGAACAAATGCCCCCAGTCGCATACCTCGATGACAATGACTGTCAGTGATATAGTCATCCGCACAACATGCATAGTAGAACACATGCCCCCAGTCGCATACCTCGATGACAATGACTGTCAGTGAC